ATTGTGTAATTCTTATTAATTTTTAGGATTATTAGCTTTATTAAGACTTTGAATGATTGTTTTAAGTGGGAATACATTCTTAACATGATTTTGATGAGATTTTAATAAACAAAATGAACAAATCAATCCTTTTTGTTAACAATCAACTTCTAAACAAAATAAATTGAGAGGATTATCTAAATGTTCCTTATCTTCACAAAATAAAGTTTACATTTTAATTTAATGTTAAAATTATTCAATAAAGAAATATTAGTAAGCTACATACATTTAAATATATATAATATGAATATGAAATCAATTTAGAAAAATGAATATCAATTAAATATATAAGAATAAGTTAAATAAATATAGATATTTTATTTAATCAATAAACTCTAGAAATATTAGATATTTTTAATGAAATTTTGGTATTGAAATGATATATATATATATAATATAATAATTAAAACTATTGTAGATAAATATTATTTATGAAATTAGTCAGATTTCTTATGAAACTCAAAAATGAGTAGGTTATTGTGGAGTTAAAGAATGGTACAGTAGTTTTAGGTACAATAACTGGAGTAGATGTAAGAATGAATACTCATTTGAGCAAAGTGAAATTGACATTAAAAGGAAAGAATCCTGTTGGATTAGATTAATTAACAATTAGAGGTTTAGAAAAAGATAATTAATATGAATAGGAAATAACATAAGATATTTCCATCTATCCGAGAATTTATAAATTGACAATCTATTGGTGGATGAATCAATATCTAAATCTAAAAAAGTGAAAGCAGGAATGGAAAAGAATGATCCAAATTTTAAAAGAAAGAAGAAGAATAAGGTCACTCGTTTACCAAGAAGATGAGTAAAGAGTATATACATCAAATAAATATAAAGTTAAAGTATATTATATAAATATTTGTACAAATTAATAATTGTTTTAGTCCCTATCTCTTGAGTATATTACAAAAAATTAATAATTATTTAAAGATGCAAGAAGTATTATCTGAGGAATAAAATTTATCATTGTCTTAAGATATCTCACTTTAAGGCCAAAAGTAAAGGATATCAAAATAAACTCTAGTGAAAATAATGAGTGCAGCTTAAGAAAGATAATTTGCAGAAGAAATTGATGAATTAGAAAATATTGAAGGTATGGAAGGTATAGAAAGTGGATTACAAACAAATTTTGAAAAAGGTCTAAAAGGAGATGATTTTAAAGAGAGAAATTTATTTTATGGAACTAATCAAAGTACTATAAATTCTTCATCAAAAACTTACATTTAAATGGTCTAATAAAATTTAGAAGTTTAATTTGAAAATAATTATAGGATTACTTGATATAAATATTATTGGTGGCTTCGATATTATAGATTATAATAGGAGTTATAACAGCAGATGAAAATTGTCGTTCATTAGCATGGATAGAGGGATTCTCTTTATTTATTGCTGTATTTTTATGTTGCAATGTTACAGCAATATATGTATAAATAAATACAATAAATAGGATTACTAGAAGGAAAAGTAATTCTAAAGTTTAGATGAAAGTAAAAATACTCTATAAACTGTTACAGTTTTGAGAGATGGAGAAAAGATTTAATTAAATTAAAATCAGATTATGATTGGAGATATAATTTATTTATTTGAAGGAATGTAAATTCCAGTAGATGGTTTTGTTATTGAAGCAGAATAATTGAAAGTTGATGTATATAATATTTATATAAATATATAAAGGAAAGTTCAATAACTGGTGAAACTGAGACAATTAAAAAAGATACTTATATGAATTGTAAATACAANAAATATAGATATTTTATTTAATCAATAAACTCTAGAAATATTAGATATTTTTAATGAAATTTTGGTATTGAAATGATATATATATATATAATATAATAATTAAAACTATTGTAGATAAATATTATTTATGAAATTAGTCAGATTTCTTATGAAACTCAAAAATGAGTAGGTTATTGTGGAGTTAAAGAATGGTACAGTAGTTTTAGGTACAATAACTGGAGTAGATGTAAGAATGAATACTCATTTGAGCAAAGTGAAATTGACATTAAAAGGAAAGAATCCTGTTGGATTAGATTAATTAACAATTAGAGGTTTAGAAAAAGATAATTAATATGAATAGGAAATAACATAAGATATTTCCATCTATCCGAGAATTTATAAATTGACAATCTATTGGTGGATGAATCAATATCTAAATCTAAAAAAGTGAAAGCAGGAATGGAAAAGAATGATCCAAATTTTAAAAGAAAGAAGAAGAATAAGGTCACTCGTTTACCAAGAAGATGAGTAAAGAGTATATACATCAAATAAATATAAAGTTAAAGTATATTATATAAATATTTGTACAAATTAATAATTGTTTTAGTCCCTATCTCTTGAGTATATTACAAAAAATTAATAATTATTTAAAGATGCAAGAAGTATTATCTGAGGAATAAAATTTATCATTGTCTTAAGATATCTCACTTTAAGGCCAAAAGTAAAGGATATCAAAATAAACTCTAGTGAAAATAATGAGTGCAGCTTAAGAAAGATAATTTGCAGAAGAAATTGATGAATTAGAAAATATTGAAGGTATGGAAGGTATAGAAAGTGGATTACAAACAAATTTTGAAAAAGGTCTAAAAGGAGATGATTTTAAAGAGAGAAATTTATTTTATGGAACTAATCAAAGTACTATAAATTCTTCATCAAAAACTTACATTTAAATGGTCTAATAAAATTTAGAAGTTTAATTTGAAAATAATTATAGGATTACTTGATATAAATATTATTGGTGGCTTCGATATTATAGATTATAATAGGAGTTATAACAGCAGATGAAAATTGTCGTTCATTAGCATGGATAGAGGGATTCTCTTTATTTATTGCTGTATTTTTATGTTGCAATGTTACAGCAATATATGTATAAATAAATACAATAAATAGGATTACTAGAAGGAAAAGTAATTCTAAAGTTTAGATGAAAGTAAAAATACTCTATAAACTGTTACAGTTTTGAGAGATGGAGAAAAGATTTAATTAAATTAAAATCAGATTATGATTGGAGATATAATTTATTTATTTGAAGGAATGTAAATTCCAGTAGATGGTTTTGTTATTGAAGCAGAATAATTGAAAGTTGATGTATATAATATTTATATAAATATATAAAGGAAAGTTCAATAACTGGTGAAACTGAGACAATTAAAAAAGATACTTATATGAATTGTAAATACAAAAGAGATTAATTGAGTGATGAAAAGAATTGTTTAACCAAATTTGATATTCCATCTCCAATTTTGTTGAGTGGTACAAGAATATTATCAGGGGAATGTAAAATGGTAGCAGCTGTAGTGGGAGAATCAAGTTGTATTGCTAAAATCTCATCATTATTTTAAACAGAAGATGTATAGTAGTCTCCTTTATAACTTAAATTAGAAATTATTGCTTAAAGTATTGGCAAGTTAGGACTGATTTTCTCAGTAATAATATTTTTTATTTTGCTATCTCGATTTATATTTTAGAGAATAATAGAAGATTCATTTGAAAAGGAACATATAAAAGAAATACTTAATTTAAGCATTGTTCCAATTACTACAATAATTATTTCCATACCTGATGGTTTCCCAGTTGCTTTAACAATTTGTATGGCATTTTCTGTAAAAAGAATGTTAAAGGACAATATTTTAATTAGAAAGTTATCTAATTGTGAAATTTTGGGAGATATTAATATGATTTGTTCAGATAAAACAGGAACATTAACATAAAATAAATTACATATGGTTAATATATGGAATGATATTAAAATGGATATTGATGTTTATAGTGAAAAATTAAATTTAAATAAGTATTTACCTCATCAAATGCATGAATTATTCATTTAATCATCTATTGTTAATGGAACAGCTGAAATTAGACCTTAAGAAAGAGGTAGTAAAACAGATGTGGCTATGATTTTATTTATTGAATAATGTGGTTTCAATTATTAAAATGAAAGAGATTTACATGAATCAACCTTGAATATGCCATTTTCAAGTAGAAGAAAAAGAATGTCAAGGATTATAGGAGATAAAAGATTAGTTATTAAAGGAAGTTCTGAAATTATTCTAAATTGTTGTAATAAATTACATTCTAAATCAAAGGGAATCATTCCTATTGATTCTACTATTAGAAAATAAATAGAAGATTTCTCAGAATAAATGAATATTTAAGCTATAAGAACAATAGGATTAGCATATAAAGAACTTAATGGTAATGAAGATCTTGTAAGTAAAAATGAACATGAAGTTTATGATATTGAGACTGAAAATCTTACATTAATTGCTATTGTTGGATTTAAAGATATTTTAAGAGCTGAAACACCATAAGCTATTGCAGATTTATAAATTGCTGGAATCAATGTAAAAATGACTACTGGAGATAATAAAATTACTGCTAAAGCTATTGCCAAAGATTGTGGAATATTAATTGATGAAAATCAATCACTCGTTTTAGAAGGATATGATTTTAATTAAAGAATTGGAGGAGTAGTTTGTAAATAGTGTCGAATATCTGTTTGTGATTGTCCAAGAGATTAATCAAATGCTAAATTACTAGCCAAATAAATTAGAGTAGATACAATCGAAAATGGGGAAGAATTCGATAAAATTTATCCTAAATTAGATGTTTTGGCTAGAAGTAGACCTGAAGATAAGTATGCACTTGTCATAGGTCTTTAAGAAAGAGGATATGTTGTAGCTGTTACAGGAGATGGTACCAACGATGGTATAATATTTATTTTACTATTATTATAGCTCCCTCTTTACATAAGGCTGATGTGGGTATTGCTCTAGGCATTTCTGCTACTGAAATAGCAAGGGATAGTGCCTCCATTATTTTGTTAGATGACAATTTTAGTTCAATTGTCAAAATTGTATTATGGGGTAGGAATATTTATGATTCAATTAAGAAATTCATTTAATTCCAATTAACAGCTATTATTGTTGTAGTAGTTATAACTCTATCATCTTCTATTTTAATTAAATAAGAAGTCTTCAAACCAATATAAATACTTTGGATTAATATAATAATAGATTCATTTGCATCATTATCTTTGGCTACTGAAACTCCATCTTAAGGTTTATTAAAGAGCAAATATCATAATCGAAATGAAAGCTTAATATGTCCTAAAATGTTCAAACATATTATAGGATAAGCTATCTATCAAATTATAATCATTTTAATACTTATATTCTATGCTCATATTTTTGTTCCTGAATTTAAAGGATAAGAAGATGAATCATCAGATTATTTGGATAAATTACAATACAAATATTCTAATACTTATTTTGATGTGAATAACAATCTTCACATCTGTCCTAATCATTAAGATTATTGTAATCTCATTTCTTACAACACAGAATATAATATAAATGGATCAGAAAACTATCTTTCCTTTTATAAAAAAACATATATTCCTTCTAGATAATTTACTGTTATCTTTAACACTTTTATAATAATGCAATTATTCAATTTTATAAATGCTAGAAGAATTTAGGATCAACTGAATATTTTATAAGGAATATTTAGCAATATCTTATTTCCAATTATTTTTTTGGGTATCCTTAGTTTGTAAATTATTATGGTTACCTTTGGAGGAATAGTATTTCACTGTTATTCATTTAATGGACTTTGTATTGAATAATGGTATTTTTAATTTATAAATATTTAGGTTAATATGCATTGCTTTTGGATTTGGAGGATTAATAATTAGATTAATACTGAGTTTAATACCAGATACAATATTAGGATTTCTTTTTAAATATGTTTCTAAGAAGAATTCTAATTATTAATTATAGATTCCTGGTCATGAATCTGAAACTGAAAATCTTAGAAATTCAAATTAAGAGAATTCATGATATAAAATAATTTTAATTGAATAATAAAATTCTAATTATATAAAAAATATGATGCAAGAAGTAAATGAAAGAAAGATATCAACAATCACAAAGAATGATAATGTTTTAGATTTAGTTAAGATCAAAGTTAGATTGGATGAACATTTTTATATATTCTCTCGTTTTATGATAAGCAGAATGTTAACATTATCTAGAATAAAAAAATTAGATGCTATCTAAATTGCCAAAGACATTAAAAAATAATTAATAGATAGAAATTCTCTTGAAATTAATTCAAATGAATTAGAAGCTATTATATTTTAGACAATGAATAAATTTGGATATTAGAATAACATCCAAAAATATCTAATGGTTTCAAAGTACTAAATCAAAAAATCGTAGTTTTTATCGACACAGAACACCTATGATTATTATTATTTTTGGTGCCCCAAGTATTGGAAAATCTCTATTAGCTAATAACTTAGCAGAAAGACTTAATATTTCTAATGTATTACAAACTGATATTGTTGAAATGGTTATGAGAAGTATAAATCCAGAATAATTCATATATAATGATAATGAGAATTTCATTACTAAGTTTAAGAAAGTAAAAGAATTATAATTAATTAAGAGAATTGCAGATTGATTAGAAGAGGTGTATCAACTGATATATCTAAATGTTTATCTGAAGGCAAAGCAGTAATTATAGAAGGAAGTGCAGCAATGCCAGAATATTATTTATAAGCTATTGATTAATAAGATTTTGAAGATGATTAATAATAATTATAATTAATAACAAGTTTCACCTAAAATGATATTAAACTCAAAAAACTTTAAAGAAAAGATTTATTGCTTTTTAATTAATAAAAAAAATTAAATACACAATTTAAAATCATATTTCCATAACCTGATTAAGATTTAGAAAATGAATAATAATATTAAAAACAATTAAAATTATGCAAAGATTTGGATAAAATTGTAAATAAATATAATATATATATTTTATTAGGATTAATCACATTCAATGATTCTAGGTTTCTTACCAATATTATCTAGAAATGATCATTTATATAATATAGAAAATAATATGAGTAAAAAAATACCAAAAGATTTAATTGAAGAAAAATTAAATTAATTTCAATCTATTTAGAATGAATTATTAAAATAAAGAAGCAAATGTATACTTTTACCTATCAATTTACATAATTTAGAAGAAACTTTAGTAATATATATATATATATTATTTAAAGGATACTATGCATGATATCATATTATAAAAAATATTAGATCAATCCAATTGATTTTTTAATAGAATGAATGTATTATATATATATATATATTTATCAAATAAAAAAATAGTTATTACAAAAATACTTTCATTCGAATTTAGAAACTGCCAAATCTTCTGAACTATCTTCTTGCTTTATTTATAATCCATTAATAGAATTAAAACTATCATCTGTCATCTTACTTTTAATTTCAGGAGCATCAATTTACTCTTCTATTTCATTTGCTGTTTGATTTGGACTAAAATTTTACTCTACTTATTGACTACTTAAATAAAATTGTTCATTTGTGCTTCCTTATTATTAATTCTATGATTATTATGAAGATAATCGATGATTATAAGATGATAATCCTAAAGGTCTAGTAAATGTACTTGAAAATTTTCCATATTTTGTTTAATATTCAGAATTATCACCTTCATAATACAAATCTTTAACTCCTTAACTTACTTATGAATATTTATAACCTAATTCGTTGTCAGTCTTACTATCATCAAAAGGTTCATGTGAAAAATGACTACCATTTTAAAATTCTTAAGTATGCCGAAGAAAACTTTAAACAGCTTTCTTTTATAACTAAGTTTAAGCTGTAAATTTATTTGAACTAGATTTTGCATAAACTGGAGGTTTATTTATATTTACTTCTTCTATGACTTATAAACCAGTTGCCAATTTAATTGTTTTTTCAAGTAAACATTCTTAAGAAAGTTATTTAGTTAAATTTCCACCAATTTATGTTAATTTTTTTGATCTATTTGATGAAATCTAAGATAATTATCCTTTTTAATTTAATCCTTAATTATGAATTTATAAAGATTATAATGGTTATTGTTATGATAAACTTTTAGTTTGAATTTAATTTTTTTAATTGGATAATTATTTCTAATGTAATGATACTTGTTATTTTTTTTAATTTTAATTTAAAGGTTATGTTTATGACTTTGTTTTCAATCCTAAATGTACATTTTTTGGTAATTCTTAAAAGTTTAAGTTTTTTTATTTAATCGAATATTTTTTATTATCTGATTCTGTTTATACTATTTTTTCTTAAGAATTAGAAATTGTTGATAGACGTCTCTATTATTAAGAACCTAATTGATTTTTTCTTATATCTGTCTTTTCTGATTATGCTCTGATACTATTTGGCAATAGTTCTAATATTCTCTTCTCACAAATCTTCTAAATTAAGCAATGTCCATCACTAAATTAGTAAATTAATATACTTAATATTATTTGGTTGATTACCTTCATAGATCTTCTTTAATCTACAAAGAGAATGAATACTTAACATTTTGAATTAAAGTTCTGCATCTTTAAAGAAACTTTCAATATCAAAAGAGAGACTAATCCATTTATTGGTTAATATAAAAGCACTTGATATCTTTACTTCTTCTAACTTTTTACTATATGCTTACTGGAGATTTGGACTTACTACTATTCTAAAATACTTTAATCTATAAGTATCAGAGAATTACTTCTTATTTATTGGAAAGTTCAAGTATAAATTTAAGTTTTTCAATCAAATAAATTTGAATGTATATTTTAGATCCTTTAATATATACATCATCGGAATTATGGTAAGTGAATAAATTAGAAGGTCCAACTTTTAGTACAAAACCTCTATATGAATGCTAATTAATACTTTTCGTCGTTTTATCAAATATAACATTTTCAGATTATTGAGACTTAAGCTCTATCTATATAGTTACATCTTACCTCTACAATCAAATAAAGTATTCTCTTGGTTTATCTTTGGTAAGTGAGTCATTAGTACAACTGTAAATATTATATTTAATAAATCATAAAACTAATTAATGCAAAAAAGAGTTAGTGACATTACTACTTTAAAAATTAGAACAACAAATCCAAATGGTTTAAATAAATAATATCTTTCATAGATATCTCTCAAAGTGATCAACCTTTTTTTAATCAAAGACTCGATCAAACAAGAGATAATATTCAAATTCCATAATCTATTTAGGAGATACTTTTTCCTAACTTTTAATTAAGATCTTTGACATCTGTAATTGCATTGTTATTAACTTTAAATTATATATGTCAATACATCTATTATAAAGTTTCAGGATATAAATATTTTGGATGTGTATTATATGAATTGGGTGCATTTTATGCAGCTGATGTAATTTATGAATGTACTAATCATTTGGAATTAAGATGAGTTCTATAGATATATTACTGGGACCTTGTATTTTGGGAGTATCTACAATGCAATCATTTTTGTAATTACATTTACAATGGAAGCCTATACATTAGAATATATGTTAGGAAAGTTTGTTATTTGCATATATTTAAATGCAGGAATCTATGGTTTAATATTCTCAGCATTGATTTATAAAAATTCTATCACAACAGGAAATTGTGGAATCATTTTTACTATCTTAGTCCTCTATGGGTCTAATCTAATTAAAAAATATCATGAAATGGAAAATGCCAAAGCTATCATAGGTCTTTATTGTATACTATTAATTTTAAACTTTTTAACCATTTTAGAAACTCAAAATACAAATATTGGTATAGTTATTGGAGGAATAATTAATGGGTTTGGTATATCAATATTTATACATTTTCGTCATATTAATGAAAAAACAAAAAAAGTTACATTTATTTTATTATTTGTAATATTTTCAGTTGAAATCATGCTATTTGGATTATTACAGAATATAGATGTTGATAAGATATTCAAAATTAATTTATTTTGTTGACATATAATTTTATTCTTAGAATTATTTAATTTTCTATAATAGTTCTTATTATATATGTTTTTTATATAAAAATTAATATAAAAATGGATAACTCAGAAACAAAAGAAAATCAAGAAAAATAATTTATTTGTATTGATCCAAAATGTGATTAATCAAATAGATTATTCAAATCAAAAAATGAAAATCATCCTCATAAATCTCATGATCATTAATTATACTCTGAATTCTAAAAATTAATTCGTGCATAATTTCCATAATAAATTAGAGAATAAATTAATCAATTATTTAACAAGGATGAATTAATCAAAGCAATCTAAACTAGATCAGTATAAATGCATGAATCTGTCAAAAATTTTGAAGAAAATCTAATCAAGTATATGTAACTCATTATGAATCATTAGAACTATCGAAGCATATGATGTTTTGGGTGCTGATAAAGCTTCCATTAATTAAACTTTGAGTTAATTAAATGAACAAAATCCACCTTAACAACTTAATATTTAAGGATTAATGCATGTCCTTAAATTCAATAAATTAGGCCCTTAAAAAGTCTTGGAAAAATGGAAAAGAGAGAATGACATAATTCTAAAAGAACTAAGTACATAAGCAGATACAGCCTTAAAAACCTTAGGAAATGTAACAATTTCAAGCTATATGCATATTTAACATCTATAAAGTCCTTAGATATTATAAAAGTAATTCATAATCACCTATATAGAATGCACTTTGCTTGGAGTCAAAATTATAAAGCAAGTTCTATTACAATTAGAGAAGATGCAGCATATGAAAAAGGAAATGCAATGGGATTGATTTGCATTTAATAAATTTTGGAAAAAGATCAAGTATAGAGTCTCACTATTGATGTAAAAGAAAGAGCTGGAGTATTGTAATATTTAATAATTAGAATCTTTATATTGGAGTTTTAGATATGAATGAAAGAAAGTAAAGAGGTAGAAAAGCATTCAGTTTTCATGATTGGAATGAATCAGGACATGGGTTATATCTGCTCTATCATGGAGGATGTAGAAGAATCTCTTAATATTAGATGTTTTTAGTTCAAATGATTAATCAATAAATAGTAAAAAAGCTGGTTTTACATTTGATTAAAATGACAAGATTATTCTAACTTGGAATGGGCCTGAACATGCTGTCACTATTCTCAAAGTAGGAAGTAGTCATGTAATAATTGATATAAATAACATTAGTAATTTACATTCAAAGTCAATCCTGATGGATAATATCATTTTGCAGCAGGTTTGTTCAAATGTGAAATAAGATTGCTTGAATGAATAATTTAAATCTAATGATTAAATAAATGTGAGAGAAATATTTTTTTATAAATTCTATTCCAAACAATTTTTTATTAAAAATTAATTGAGGATCATTAATTTTTAAATGTAATCAAAATTAATGATCGAAAAAAATAATAAAATCTAAAAAAAGATCATATAAGTGTTTAATTTCTATTTGAAGAGAGTTCTACTTTAAAGTATATTATAGAAATCATTTTTTTATTGTATTATGTCTAAATTATCAATGATTAAAAATTGATATTTTGTAAAATTAAAATTTCATTTATCTATAATATTTTATAAATTTGTAATTTTTCGATATGGCAGACGAATATGATGAAGAATTTGGAGAGGTGCAAAATTAAAAAAAATAGGTAGCTAGGATTAGTGATTGGTGATTTTAACATCCCATCAAGGGCTTCCGAGTTACCCTCCTTAATTTAAGGATCTTTTAGTTCCCAATAAAGTTCAATATGTATTTTGCACAGGAAATGTTGGGAATAGAGAAACTACAGATTGGCTAAAAACATTATCTGGAAATACCCATTTAGTAAAAGGTGATTTTGATGAATCAAAAGATATTCCTGAAACAAAAATCATATAGATTGGTTCATGGAAGTTAGCTTTAGTTCATGGTCATCAAGTAAAACTAAAATATTCATCGATTAGATTGTCCCTGCTGGAGATAATGAGTCATTATATACATTTTTAAAAGAGATGGAAGCAGATGTGCTTATTACAGGATATACTTGTGTTGCTAAGGTTTCAACTGTAGAGAAAAAGTATATTCTTAATCCTGGATCTGTTACAGGAGGTTTTAATGGATAATAAACGTAAAATAAAGTCATTATATAGATCAATTCCATCATTTTTAATTTTAGAATTTAAAAAGGAAAAAATTTAAGTTTTTATATACACTTTAGATGTAGATGTAAAAATAGATAAGTAAGAATTATTATTATAGAAATGAATAAATTAAATCAAGTATTATTAATAATTTTTATGAATCAATAATTTTGCTCTTTAAAAATGCAATCACTCTATCATAACTTTTCTGAGATCTTGATTGGCAAATTAGAATTCCTAAATTCAAAACCTTCTTATGAATTTTTCTAATAACAATTTGGTCGTGTCAATTTTCTAATTATTCCAGTACATAAATTAATCTTCTAGGTTTATAATCTTCTATTATTATTCCCTATAAATTGAAAAAGATTTATCCCTTTTAAAAAGTAAATCTATAAACCAAAACAGTTTTAGCAAACCTTAATATTCTTGAACTCTTTAATACGCTCTATTAAAAAACTCAAAATTAAGTCTAAATGATCATAAAAATGAAAAATCTAAATTATAATTTATATTCCTCTTATGCTGTCACAAGATTAAAAGTAAAAATTCAATAATCAAGATGATAGTCATTTATCAACAATTATTGTTATTAATATTCATTAACTTCATAAAAATGCAATTTTGTGTCTCTCTTTTCTCTACTAAAATATATATTGTAAATATATCAATTCTTGAAATATAGAATATAGAATACTAGATTGTTTATAAACAACAATTAATAATTTTATTTCATTATTCTATATACATATATATGATAAATTAGAGAGTAATGTTATTATAAATAAACAAATCAAAAATATTGATAGTCGGCAAAAACCATAAATGATAGTCTTTAATCTTTTTTTTTTTATTTTAGTTACTAAAGTTTTGTAAAAAGACTAAAATTTAATTTATTAGTTTAATTTCTAAAAGTTAAGCTAGTTTATTTTTTTCTTGTTGAATTCGCTCTTTGAAAACTATTTGCTCTTGATGATTTATTTTATTCATAAAATTCATCTGCACCTGTAATTTCTTAAGGTTAATTTTCATAAATTGAACAGTTATGAAAATTTGTAGCATCCATTAGTTAAAGGGATGCTCTTTTTTTTCCTTAAACCCTAGATTTAGAGAGATTTGCCTAATTTAAATCTTAACTTCTGTCAATAGATTAAGCACATGATTTCAATTCTGTTTAATAGAGCTTTTTTAATCTTTAATATGAATTTTAAGAGTTATGAGAACATATTAGACTTTTTGAAATACAAACTTATTCAGCCTCTGCAGAAATTTTATCAGTTATGGAATTAGGTTTCGATTTATCACTTATAAAAGACTTGAGTCTATTTATTCTTGAAAACAAACTTAATCTTGTTTTACTCTCATCTTCTATTTTATACTACTTTGAAGATTAATTTTAGTCTTATCCTTATTCTTCCAATTCTCTAAAAGTTTCAGCCATTGTGTGTCTTCTAGATTCTCTCTAGTTAGAATTGAAATATTATATTTTATTGATCATTTCTTTCTCAAATGATTCTGATATTTCATAACATCTTGGATAAACATATGGCTTTAGGCTCATTTTCCTTTTTTATGATTTAGTTTTACTAGGGTTCATTATATTAATTGATCTCAGTTATAATAAAATTTATATATACAATTAATAAAATAAGAGAAAAATAGAAATAAAAAGTCATCTAAGATAATTAAGGAAGATTTTGAAAAAAGTAATATTAATTTCAAATAATAAACTTATGGTAAACAGAATTACTTTTGTATAAAATGCCTCTATTATTAGAATCATCATTCAATTTCCTTAAGTATTTTGTCCCCTTCATCTAAAGCTCTTTACATATTTTCCCTAAGTCCTTTGAGAAATGTTTTGAAACTCAAAACTACTGATTGAAACTTTGCCTATGTCTTATCTGTGGTTGCTTTGAGCGGTTTTTAAACCTTTTTTATTCTTTCAGGTGCCTATTTCTTATGTTACTTTGATGTAAATTTTTTCTTGATCTTTTTCATTATAGTATTTGCTTTGGCCATTTTAGCTTTTGAAGATCCTATCATTATAATATCTGGGCATTCATCAGATTTTCTCTCCTCTGTATTTTAAGTTTTGGATATTGGAGCCTTTATTTTTGGTTAAGGCGGTCTTCCTCTTTTAATTTTAGTACTAACACGAATTTTATGATAAGTTAATGGTGGTTTTTTATTTTCAGGTTAGTCATTATCACTTTCAATATTTGATTATTGTAAGAGATCGATCTCTAAGTCTTCGGATATCATATATTAATAAATGGGCTCTAAAATCTATAATGTATTTATAGTAAAAAGACAAAAAAGCCTGAAAAAAATTGGTAATAATATTTATTAACAATTAATGTGCCAAAAAAACTATAAATATTTATTCTAACTCCCACCACAGAAGTTAGAAATTTGAAAATTATATGAAAACCTAATTTGAGGAAAATTTCGTTTATGTTGATGTCTTAATTTTAATATAAAAACTAAACAGAAAATTAAATTATTTTTATCAATTAAAGTTGTAAAAAAACTAAATTTACTTTTTCTAAAAATAAATTAGGCTATTTAGTAAAAATTATAGATTTCATCTTTTCAGTTTTGATATAGAAATTTTTGTTTCTATTTTAGACAAGTTCTTAATAGAAAATTTTCTTAAATTTTAATTGCAAACTATATTAAATTAAATTTTTTGGATAATATAAATAAGTGTCTTTATAATAGAAAAATATTTCTCAATCATTCTTTTAAATAATTTCAATTCCTCATAAATAACAACTTATTAATTTTTATTGAATTTAAGATATTAAATTTATGCGGCAAAGTCCTTTTGAAATACTCAAAGATGTAGAGAGGATTTATCTGCAAATAAATTGAACATAATTTTAAAACCAAAATAAATGAAGTATGATGTAAAAGCATATTGATGAATGTATTTCTTACTTATATTAATTTGAAAAAACAATCTGATGAAGAAATTTAAGTCTTATTTAAAAAAAATTGATTATGTTAAGACAAAATTTATGAGCTTAGGATTAACTAACATTTATTTAAAATTTCTTAATTTTTTGCTTTGAGTTTGAATTAAAAATAAAATAAATGTAGAGGGCAAAGTTGTCGTATTTTTAGATAAGATATTTACAGGATGGCTATATATAGTATAATAAATTCCCTAAAAAAATGAAATTAAGATGTAAAATAGAAGTTCATGCTTAAACTAAAGCGGTTATAAAAAGATGAAATTCAAAAAAAGATAAACTAAGATAAGTTAGTTATTAGAACATTAGCATAAATATAAATATTACTTAAAGGAAAGGATAAAAAAATAAATACTATTGAAATGATTAAAAATAACATTAAAAACTAAGAAAGTCAAGTAAAGAAATCAAAATAACTTATTTATTTAGCCATGATTATATTTATATTAAACAATTTTAATCTATTTATTTCGACTCTAAGTTTGCTAAGCAGGATTAAATTTAGCCTATTGGCCCTGCAATTTTTCGAAAAGTGCACTCATTATTTAATATCAAATAAATACATAAGGAAAATTTAATTATCAAGTAGTCCCAAAACCTTAAAAAGTATGAATCAAACAGTTAGAGATAAAATGCCGAATTATAATTACAGTTTAAAGATTAAGAAGAGGATAATAAAGGCCAATTTTGTCCTTAATGTAAAAAGTTAATCAAATCGAATAAAAATATCTAATTTTATAATCATCTCTTCTTTCATTTTTATAAATAAAATTTCCTAAAAGAATCAAAGTAATATAATCATATATCTATTTCGATTTAGTATCATTTTTTTACTTATTGTCATTAAAGAATTAATATCTGAGTCAAGAGATTATTCAAGACCATAACAATATATTATTTAAATTCTAAATTAATTGAAGAAAAGAAGTTAATTATTATAATATATTAAATTAATAATGATACTTTACAACTTTCTTAAAATTCTATCAGTTCATTTAATTACTAAATATTACTAGATAAATACCTTTATTAGTTTAATTACTGTATTTAAGTTTATAAGGTAGAATTTTTGTTAAATAAATCTCTTAATCTTCTATTTAGATCGCTAATTCCGTCACTATATTACTGCTTACTATCTTCCAGTGTTTGAACTTAGTGTTTGAGATAAATGATTTCTTTTAAATTTTCTTAGTTAGATTAAAGTTCCTAACTCTATTTTCTAGATTGTTTTAATTCCTAATCATGTTAAAGTTTTTTGAGAATTTATATAACAGGTTGAGTGGCTTGATTTAAGAGAACTAATTATTTGTTTTCTTCAAAATCATCTTAATTTTCTTTCAATAATTATTCCATAGTTTGAATAAAGTGATTAGTTTTTTCATTAAACTTTTACTCCTAATTATCTAGCTTCGATTAAAGATCATCGATTTATCCTTTTAATTAATTACATTCATTTTCTAAAAATTCCTTATCTTTCTCAAGTTTTGTTATAAATTGTGATTAGGTTCTTAACTATTCTTATGCTGCCAATAATTCCTACCTTTACTGAGCTATTTCTAATCCTTATTTTTCAATAATATCATTTTCTTTATTAAATCTTTCTGAGGACTATTAATCCATTTAATTTTGTAGTTAATCTTTACTTTAAAGTAATTAATCTGTTTTTTCCGAAGTTTGTAAAATGGATTAATGCTAAATCTAATTTAATTGCTCAGATATATATGTATTTTATTTTTGAAGCTAATCCTTTTCTTCATTTAATTGTAATATTTATTATTGCAGTTCAGATAATTATTATTTATAATTTTAAATTTCTTCTTAGTGGTGTGGATGATCATCACCTTAACCTCCATAAAGGTTGATTTATTAATCATCTTGATTAATGTTAGGCACTTATTGTTACTTTTTCTCAATTACATCATCATCTTTTTCTAAATCTAATTAATTTTCTAATTTAGGACTTTGCTCTTATAAAATACCATCCTTTTCCATTTCTAAGAGTAGATATTTGTTTAATAATTTGTTATATTTTTCTTTTTATTTTTAAATTTCTTCATCTAATTGTTTTTCATGTTCTTTCTTGATATCCTCCTACTTTTTATTTAATCCATCATTAAGTTCTTCTAAGGCTAAATGTTCAGATAATAATGAATTGAATTTGTTTTTGATTGTTTCAAGTTAACTTTTATCAACTTAATTTTCTTAATTTTAATTTGCTGAATTCAAAGCATCTATTGCTTTGTCACATTGATCTTGTAATTTCAAATGTTCATTTAATAAATTGTTAAATAAATCTTTGGCTTTTAGTCTTTCTTCATCTAGTTATTATTAGAATTCTTTTCTTAATTGTTTTTCTTATTCATTAATTAAATCTCCCACATTTAATAAATGTAGGTGTTCTTCTAATAGATTATTAAATTTATTTTTATAATAATCTTCAGAATTAGTGTCTATTTTTTAGGGCTCTGAATTTTAAGGTTCTATATTAGGTTATGTTTATTCTACATTCTATTATTCTTGTTTTAATGACTTATCTAATATGGATTTCAAATGATCAATTTCATGTTTCAATTATGAATTTTCATTTTCTAAATAATTTACTTATTGTAAAAGACCATGAATTTATTCTTCATTTTAAGAATTATTATTTGATTATTTTTCTTATTCGTTTTCTTTCTCTATATTTTAGTCTACATTAGAATTATCTTACTTTTTCTCAATTACATCATCATCTTTTTCTAAATCTAATTAATTTTCTAATTTAGGACTTTGCTCTTATAAAATACCATCCTTTTCCATTTCTAAGAGTAGATATTTGTTTAATAATTTGTTATATTTTTCTTTTTATTTTTAAATTTCTTCATCTAATTGTTTTTCATGTTCTTTCTTGATATCCTCCTACTTTTTATTTAATCCATCATTAAGTTCTTCTAAGGCTAAATGTTCAGATAATAATGAATTGAATTTGTTTTTGATTGTTTCAAGTTAACTTTTATCAACTTAATTTTCTTAATTTTAATTTGCTGAATTCAAAGCATCTATTGCTTTGTCACATTGATCTTGTAATTTCAAATGTTCATTTAATAAATTGTTAAATAAATCTTTGGCTTTTAGTCTTTCTTCATCTAGTTATTATTAGAATTCTTTTCTTAATTGTTTTTCTTATTCATTAATTAAATCTCCCACATTTAATAAATGTAGGTGTTCTTCTAATAGATTATTAAATTTATTTTTATAATAATCTTCAGAATTAGTGTCTATTTTTTAGGGCTCTGAATTTTAAGGTTCTATATTAGGTTATGTTTATTCTACATTCTATTATTCTTGTTTTAATGACTTATCTAATATGGATTTCAAATGATCAATTTCATGTTTCAATTATGAATTTTCATTTTCTAAATAATTTACTTATTGTAAAAGACCATGAATTTATTCTTCATTTTAAGAATTATTATTTGATTATTTTTCTTATTCGTTTTCTTTCTCTATATTTTAGTCTACATTAGAATTATCTTACTTTTTCTCAATTACATCATCATCTTTTTCTAAATCTAATTAATTTTCTAATTTAGGACTTTGCTCTTATAAAATACCATCCTTTTCCATTTCTAAGAGTAGATATTTGTTTAATAATTTGTTATATTTTTCTTTTTATTTTTAAATTTCTTCATCTAATTATTTTTCATGTTCTCTCTTGATATCATCCTACTTTTTATTTAATCCATCATTAAGTTCTTCTAAGGCTAAATGTTCAGATAATAATGAATTGAATTTGTTTTTGATTGTTTCAAGTTAACTTTTATCAACTTAATTTTCTTAATTTTAATTTGCTGAATTCAAAGCATCTATTGCTTTGTCACATTGATCTTGTAATTTCAAATGTTCATTTAATAAATTGTTAAATAAATCTTTGGCTTTTAGTCTTTCTTCATCTAGTTATTATTAGAATTCTTTTCTTAATTGTTTTTCTTATTCATTAATTAAATCTCCAACATTTAATAAATGTAGGTGTTCTTCTAATAGATTATTATATTTTAATTTATAGTAATCTCCTTAATTAGTTTCAATACCTTATTTTTCACTTGAATTACTACAAGGATTAAATAATTCTTATTACTATATTTAATCCTTTAAAACTTAATTTGATAATTTAAGCTATTCTAAATTAGTTTCTTGTTCTTCAATCTTCATTTAATTTTAAAGGTTTATTTCTTTTTATTTTTACAATCTCTATTAAGAATTTTCATATTAATTTTACAATTTTTTAATAGTGAAAAAAAGTTTGAATTATTTTGCCAATAATTTTGTATTTGTTTATTACAATTTCTATAAATTTTTTTAATTAATGGTGTCAATTTCACCTTACTAAGTTTCAATATTTTCAACTCCCATTTCAGTTTATTCATAATAATTTTAATTATCTATAAGATCTTACACTATTGCTTTTTGCTTTGATAATCTTTTTAATAATTAATCATTCTCTCTATCCTTCTAAAACATTTGACAAAGTAATTTAAATATTTTGGCAAGATATTTCTTATTTTAAATCTCTAATCTTTGAATTTCTAATTTTTTTTAATGAATTTCATTTTCGTTTTATTGTTCCTCTTATGGCTCTGTTTATTGTTGCAACAAATCTTGCTTAGAATTTTTTTCATCTTCTTACAAGTTTTCAACTAATTATTGTAATTAAGCATTTTTTTGTTATAATTTTCTTTATAAATCTTCATTTGCCTTATTTGACATATTTAAATTGCTTGTAAGAATAAATAGTTTGGCTAAAAGTTTGCAGTTTTTTTATTTTAATTAATGAGAGCTATTTTCAATTTTTGAAAATTCATCGATTATTGCATTTTATTTCACTAATCTCTCATTTAGTTATTTATTTTCTTTGATTTATTTTTATAACAAAAATAATGCCCTAAATAATTTAGATAAAGCTTTAGTATTTTAGTTCTTAATCTTTAGGATATCATTACTATTGAATATCTCTAATTATTTTTCTGGATCCATTTCAGAAACAGCTTGGAGGCTAATTTCCTAATGTTATAACTCAGGTTCAAACTTTATTTAAGAATCAGAAGTTTTTTCTAACATTAATTCATCATTAACAGCTTTTAATTTACTTATTCTTTCATTCAATTAAATTAATTCATTATCTTTCTTCTTTTATTGACTCAAAATTTTGAATAACTTTGCAAGCAATTTATTATATTTTTATTTCTAAAGCTAAGCTTCATTTTGATGATTTATATATTATTCTTTTGGTTCACAATTTGATGATATATTTTCATTATCTTTGTTTGGAATTTTGGATTATTCTTAAACATCTATATTGGGAGCTTATTCTTATGTTAATTCATCTATAATAGCTTTAGATTTGGCTAATCGTTATTCAAGCATTAAAATTTAATTATTTTTTTTGTTCAATCCACTCTTAACTCTGAATAATTTGACTAATAATTTGTTATTTTAGTTCTTAAGTCTAACATTTTCTTACTCATTAAAATTTTAAAATTCCCTTTATTATTCTGCTGCAGGTTTAACATCTTCAAATTCTACATCAACAGGATTAATATTTTCATCTTAAGGTTATTGATAATCTTGACTATATGTTTCAATTATAGCTTTATACTTTGATAGTCTTTCATTTAAATTTTCAATCAATTTATTTTATTTATTATATTTACTCATGATCATAAATAATTTAGCAGCCATCTTATTAATTTTTTGATTTCTTAAGACTTCATTCTACTTTTCAATTTCATTTTAATTAATATCTTATTGAGGTTCTGATTAATGATTTTATAAATTAAAAGTCTACTCACAATCTTTTTCAATTTTTTCATCTTTATTTATATTATTAGTGTGTATCTAATCATTTAATTCCAATATTTATGCTTTTTGCTTCTGAATTCTCTGAATTAATTCCTCTATTTAATTATTTTTTTTATTGATTAAAAACATAGATCTAAATAATTTTCCTTATAGTCTTTAATTTTAATTTTTTATTTTTATTTAATCATAGTCAACATTTTTTTCTTCAACATCAATAGCTATTTATTTATCATTATTGTAGTTCTCTACTATTACTTATTCTTATTCAGGTTATTGAACTTCTTCCTAAATAGGCTCAGTAGAAATAGCTTCAATTATAGCCTGTTATTTTTTAAGCCTTTCATTTAAATTTTATAATTCATTTTCTTTAGTTTTTAATTATGTCATGATTCTAAAAATTTTTGATAATAATTTTTAGTTTTTATTCTTAAACTTTTAAACTTCATTGTTCAATTCTTATTAATTATCCTATATTTAAGGCTATTCATTTATAGGTTTTTCATCTTCTTTTTGTTCTTTTTCTTCTTCATTAATTTTTTATTCTTAATTCTTTTAATTTTCGATTAATTCTTAATTTATTGCCTTTTATTTCTCAATTTTTTTTTCTAATTCTTAAATTATTGAATCTTTTTATTTTTGTTAGGTCAATATTCTGAAAATTTTGCCTAATAATTTTTAATTTTGTTATTTTTATTTCACTAAATCCTCCTTAATATTTTATTGATTTTCTAATTCATTTTCATCTGGTTCTTTATGTAATTGCTCATTTATTTAAGGAATTGGATCAGTCGAATTTTATTTTTCATTTTTTTAATTTTCTAATAATTCATTAATAATAGCTTTTTGCTTTTTAAGTTTTTCTTCCTGATCTGATGTTTATTTTTCTAATTACAACAATTTTCCTACTAAAATAAATTTACTTCTTATATTCTTACTATTCTGATTCTTTATTTAATGCAACTCTTAAATTAATTAAGAATTTTTTGCTAGTAATGAAACATTATCTTAATTTAATCCTTTAATTAAAGCCTCTTATTCTTAATTAATTTCATTTTGATTTATTTTTGGTGTTGAATTTTATTGTTATTATTGTTATTGTTATTATTGTTATTGTGATTATTGTTATTGTTATTATAATAATAATAATTATTATGATAATTATTCTGATTAATGTTTTTACTATTTGATTATTTACTCTTAATCTTATGTCTTTTTCTCTGCATCTTATAACTATGATAATAATTTATTATTCTCTAGTGTCAATATATTATTTTTGTCCTCTAATTCCTATACGATTTATTTTAAGTTTTCATTTTCCTAATTATTTTATTATTCTAATAGAGATTGATTTTCTTTTTTCAAATCATTAATTTATACATTGGCTTGCTTTAATTTATCCTCTAATTCTCTTAATTTCTATGTATTATCTTTAGATCTTGGTGTTGAGTCTTTTTGTGAATATTTTAAAGCTATTTCTAAATCATTAATTTTAATTTCCTAATCCTTAATATGTAATTCTAATTCTTCAATTTTCTTTTTATCACTATTTTCTAATTCTAAAATGGAATTGAGTTCAATGTTTTTTGAATTATATTTATTCATCCAATCTTAAATATCAGCATCTTAAGATTTAATTTTATTTTCTAATTTTTTAATAGTTTCATTTAAAAGTGAATTTTCTTTGGCTTTTTTATTATTTTCATCATCCAAAGTTTCCTTTTATTCCAAAACTTCGGTGTATTTAGCTTTCAAATTAGAAAAATCTTCACTTAATTTATTGAATTATGAGTTGAATTCATCTTATCCATTGTTAGGAGCATTACATAATTCAATCAAATCATTTTATAGATTTAAGTTTACTTCTAATGGCTTTGAAGCCAATTATTCAAATAATTTTATATTTTCAGCTCTCAAATCTTAATTGCTTTTTTAAATAGTATCAATTTAATCTTGAAGTCTTTTATTTTCAATATCAAGTTCATTGAAATTGTTCCTTAAAACTATTATGCTTGCTTCTAATTCATTTATTTTATTTTAATCTTCCTTTCTTTAATTTTCCATTTCTTCTTTTAATTCTAAAAGATTCTCAATTTTATTATAAGCAACTAAGGTTATTTATTTTATTAGTTACTTGCATAATAATTATCAACTTCATCTTTATTCTTTTAGAGTTAGGAATACTTATTTTTCCACTCAGATATTTCTTGTTGATGAGAATTAATTGTTTCATCATATTCACTTATTTCTTCTTACAATTCATTAATTTACTTTTTTAAGTTTTCAATTAGAGCAAAGCTAAATAATATAAGCTTTATACTTTTCATTATTTAAATTGTTTTATGGTTCTATTATTTTTTAGGGTGATTACTATTTTTTCTGGATTGACTTTTCCTCCATCAATTTTTTCTAAAGATCTAATTTATCATTTAATAAAAGAGAATTTTAAGCTTAAAGTTGTTCTAATTATTTATCTTTTTGATCAATTTCATTCCAAGCTTATTTGAGATCATTTGTTAATTATTTATTTTCCATTTTCAGATTTTCAATATCAGCCTAATATTACTTCTCTTTTTAATTCATTTCAAGTTCTAAAGCAAGTACATCTCGTTGTTTGATCTAATCTTGACTTAATTTGTCATTATCAATTTTTTAAGATTTACTGCTGTGAATTGAAGATCTATGGATTCCTGGTCCCTCTGTTTTCTTTAAAATTTCATCAGCATATTTTTTATATTTCTCTTTTTCCTCCTACAATTTTTCAACTCTTTAACTTAAAACTTAGTTGGTATCTTTATTAATTTTTGCCTCTCTCATTGTTCGCTCCAATGCTTATGATTGTTCAACTTTCAATTCTGATTTTACTTTTTATATCTGAGTATCAATTTACTAAGCAATTTAAATAATAATCATACTTTAATTCCTATTGGTGCTTGTCCTTAATTTGCTTATTAGATACTTCTCATAATAAAAACGCAAATAAAAAATTATTAAAAACCATAAAACTTAACAAACTATTAAATCTCAAAATATTATGTATTATTTATTCCGTTATGGATCGATCAAATCATTAAATTATTCTTTCATAAGTTCTTATCATTTTTTTAGATTCATCAATAATTTATAGAATATACATGATTCAATATAATCAATTATATAATTACTACATAAAGATAAAAAGATCAACCAAATTATTTTGAATTCAATATTATATCTGATTTATTTTCTACAAATCCATTTAATAATCAGAATTATAATAAAAATTTTATACATTAAATAATTATAAGTAAATTAAAATTTGTATTATTATCTAATTCATTTATGATCCTAAAATTTAGTAGTATAAATTTATTATTAATTTTCCCCATATCTCATACTTTTGAAAAAATTAATTGTTAAATATTGAGAGATATAGACACTATTTCAAAATTGAATTAAAATTTAGATCAAACTCATTAAATTGTATAATTAAATCAATTTATATGAATAGATTATCTTTATTACTAAATTTAAGTAATATTATTTTATATTATATTAGATTTTACTATATTTTATTATATATAGCAATTAATATTATAATAATTATTTGTTAATATGAGTGTCTCTTCGAATTAACAATAAATATATGAAGAACTCATGGTATGAATTTTAGTTTTCTATATCAGGATAAAATCAAAAACAATTCAGAAATAAGAGAGAAATTTGATAGCAGAACTTAAAGTGGATTATTAGATAAAGACTATGCACATGAAGTCTTGATTGATTGGAGTGATTTACTAAATTATGATCTTAGTGATGCCATAACTTATTTTGATCTTGATAATCCTGACATTCCTCCTGAAGAGATCAGATAGTACTTAGATTTTGACAGTTTCATTAATCTGGTCAACAAATGGTTATAGAAGCAATTATTACAAACATCTCCTAAATAAAAACAAAGTACAAACTAAGATCAATACTGGTTTAAGAGTGAACCTGGAACACTCAATACAGAACAGAGTGATTTAAAGCATTAGGAATAATTAATAAAAGCAATTTTTGAAACATAAGAAGCTAAGACTAAAAAGGTATTTAATGAATATGCAATGATGAGTGATCAGAATGATACAATTAGTAAATAAGATTTTCCTCTATTACTAAAAAATTTGTTATATCAACATAATGCATCAATATATGAAAAAGGTGGTTAAGAAGATTTCTTTATGAGAAGTAATTCTTATGGAAATTTAAATAACTTTTTAAGGGATGATTAGATCAATTATTAATAATTTAAAGAGGCAGCAATTTAATTCATAAAAGGAAATTAAGATTTAATTCTTTTGGATCATGAATAAATTAATAAGAAAAAAGAAAAATAATAGCCTTAACATCCACCTAATTTAGAAGAAGAACTATTATAATAAATAGAAAAATATTAATAAATTTTATAAACAACTGAGCCTGAAATTGAAAAATAGGTTCTAAGAAATATGATAACAGCTTTAGTTCGTTAGTTAGATTTAATAAGAGACAATACTATGAGACTTGATGAAACATAAATAAATTCTACTATTAAACCTAAAGCTAATTTATAGATTTCATTCTCAGGAATAGCTAGACCTGAAAAAAGAGCAAAAACAAAAGAAGAAATAGAAATTGCAAAAAGAGACAATCAAATATTGGAAATTTTTCTATTTTTTGCAAAATAACAATATGTTAATGGGGTTGCGTATGAATTTGACAGATACACAAAAGAAGCTTAGAGTTTAAGTTTAGGTATGTTTTTATATTTTTGTAAATGTTTTAATTTGATTGAAACTCATGTAAGAAAACCAAATGAAGAAAATTTATTAGAAAGAAAAAAAAGAGGAGAAGAAGTAAATATTACTAGATTGAATTAAACAGCTATCAATAAAAGTTTATTAGAAGAGGAAAAATAAGTAGAACAAGCTTCAACCATAATATCTCCAAAATAAAAACCACCTACTGTTCCTGTAGATATACAAAAAGTTGAAAACTTGCCTCGAAAAAATAAATATTCTCATGTCCCTTCAAAATTTGAGTAAATATTCTATTTAGATATCTTAGATGGTGGAATGATGAATTAAAGTTTGATAAATACTATAATCCAAATCAAAATCCTTTGCCTTAATAAATTTTAGATGATATGAAATTTTTAACAAAAGAGGAAATTAAAAGTTTATTCAAAAGAAGTGCATTTGGTAAAGATGTAAACAAAATTAATTTAAAAATAGCTCGATTTTGATGAATTTAAATGTTTATTAGGATTTATGGCTAATCTCATGTTCAAATAAAATGGAGAAAGACATCCTCATGCCTATTAATTGATATTAAGACTAATGTATATTGATTATCCAGAAGAATATAGAAAAAGATTAATTCCAATAAAAATACCTTTTAATTGTAAAGAGAAAATAGGTTTCAGATAACTCCCAGGTTATGAACATCATGAATATAAAGGGAGATAATTATCAGAATAAGAAAAATAGCAACTATAAAAATTAAAACAAGAAAGAGAAAATTAATTAAGAGAAAGACTTACAGAAAATCCAAATTAAAGCATAAGATCTATAGGATCAATAGGTTCTTAATCAATTGCTAATTTACCATATAATAAGTAATAAGGTAGATTCTTAAATGGAAGAATTGATTTAGATAGAGAAAAAGTATCTTGGGCAAAACTTGAAAATTTAAATCCTAATGACTTAAGTGGTCATGGCAGAAATTTCAAGCCATAAGATTTAATTGATGAATTTGAGGATGAAGAAGACAGGTAATTTTATATTATATAAATTAGGTTTTTCTTAAAAGAGTTTTCTTTAGAAGAAGAAAAAAGAAATCAACTAAAACCTGAAGAAGTTTAAAAAAATCTAGAAAAATATGGTAATTATAAACCTCCCAAAAGACCTACTTAAAAACACTAAATGAGTCAACCTTAATTATTAAACCAAAGATATGATTAGAAAAGTGTAGACATGAAAAATTAGTACTTGTAAAGAGCTAATCAAATTTAGTAATTACAAAATAAAAAAGAGTAATAACTACTCTAAAAAATTAACAAAAAATATAAAATTTGATTATTTTTAAAATCATTATAAGTATTATATCTTGAGTTATTATGTATATTATGAAGATAATATAGATAAATAGATAATTATTATATATTATTGAATATTTAATTTATATCATCATTTCTTTTCAAAATACTTATTGCAAACCATTCTTGCATACTCCACAAGTATTACCTGCTCCTAATCTAATGAATCCTTATTCTCCCCAACTTGATCCCCAAGTATTTTTAAGTGTCCAAACTCCATCATTTGTAATTCCAATTAGCAATGCACCATGATTTAAAGAGGTTCCACATTATGTCAAAATACCACTAAAATTAAAAAAAATATTTTTACCTTTTATAAAATTACCAAGAAGATGCATCAACTGCTACAGTGACTGTTGAATTAGTCAAAGCTTTAATAAGATCTTCACAATTGCTTATAGTAATATAATTTGAGATATGGAATGATCTTTAAACATTCTTGCAGATTCCACTTGTTGAAGTTGTAGGATAATCTTTTTCATAGGCTAAACCTTTGTCTTTAACATAATTTAATGTATTAGAAACAAAACCTCCTTAACATCCTTTATTACCATATGAACTAGAACAGTCAATTAAATCCTATTAAGATAATTGATTATAATTATTGTTAATAATTTTATTATTTGCATCCAAAAGATCCAATGTTTAAAAGATATATGAAGCACATTATCCTTAATTTTTAACACTTCCAGCATATTTTGACCAATTTATTTCTTGATTTAAATTATTCTCTTTTATTTACTATTTTGTTGTTTGCTCATCAGAAAATTGATGATCGTAATGTAAATATTATATTGAAAATTCTTCTGATGTTAAATCAGCATATTCATTAATTTCCAACACAAAATCATTTTGCTTTTAGTTTGTTTCTTCAATAAATTTAACATTTTACTCAAATACTTATCTTCTATATCTAAAAAAAATCAAAATTTTTATACTCTTATTCAAGCACTGAGTAATATTATTTATTATATTTCAACATCCAAGAGCTATGATTATTAGCTAATTGTGTATCACTTTTATATTACAAAACCATCGCACTTAAAAGAAGAACAGTTCCTAAAATTAAATAAGATTTTGAAGCCATATTTATATTAATGATGTAATTAAAAAGGTTCCCTTATATATATATTATGAAAAATTAAGGGTCCCTTTTAGATGATATAATTATATTCATTTTACACATCTTTAGTTGTAAAAAATAACTAAATACATTATCTATAGAAACTATATATTCAATAATCATCATTATATATTACAGTAGATGGGAATCTTTTTTTGTTCTTTAAGGTATTCTATTAGGATATGCTAAATATAAATGGTACATTAAATATAATTCTCAATCTGGAGAAGATATTTGAATTGAAATAAGTTTTAGTATTATAATAACTTACAAATATATTTCATTTGATCTTTACTATTATTGTAATTAGTATAAATTATATTAAGATACTAAAGTAAAATTGAAAGACTCATTTATTTAAAATCTATGATATTTATTCTTAACTATTATCACTACAATTATTAATAACATTTGTATTTCTTTTGAGTCGTCCATTTTGAATAATATATTTTTTGAAAGTCTTAAAATTTACTCAGGTTAGGTTTTCCTCTTTAAAAAATTAAGGAACTCATAATATTTTAGCTTTAATTTATTCTTCAATGTTTAATTTTTCTAAAAACTTGATGGTACATCTTCCTAAATAAAATTCTAAACCTCTTTATCCGAATTGCTTTCATTTTTATGAATGGATTGAAATTTTTATAATAAAAATTTAAGCTGCTGATAATTACTAGATTTTGCCATCATTTTTTCATGAAGATTTTCAATGAGAACTTCCTCCTCTTCTTTTTTATATAATATATATTTTATTTATCTTCTAATTTTTTTCTCTATATACTATTGATATACCTGCCAACTATTTACGATTGGCCTATCAAATTGTTTGTACCTATATATATTGGAGTAGACTTTGGATATATTTGATGTTTCTTTCATTGCAATATAATTTTCGAATATATTATTATATAAATTAATGAATTACCCTTTTAATCCATCTCCCTCCTATTCATTCAGTGTTGCTAAGAAGTATTTATGTCTTAATTCATAGAATACAATCCCACTTTTTATTACCCTAAATTAGTATGGGACCAGGTTAATATCATCCTAAAACTGAGAAGAAAGGAGGGACGTTGAATTTTGGATCATATAGTTAGCGCAAAATGATATTGGCTTAGGATTCTTTAACTCCAGGACCACTTCATTATACAATTAATACTTATAGAAGTTAAGGTGTTTCATTTGCTAATTCAAATAAGCCTCTAAATAAACCAACTCAAAATCCTGGGCCAGGGTATTTTTACACAAAATTAGGCAATATCTACCAACAGATGAACCTCATAGTAGACTTGGAGGGTCTATTTCAAAGACTTCAAGGAATGAAAATTTTGATAATAAAATTCCAGGAGCTGGTCATTATCCTATTAAATCAACTTTGAATAGTTTAGGCTTTAAATTCAAATAATTACATAAAAGAGCTAGAACAGATCATATGAGTCCTGAACCTGGTCCTGGATCCTATTCAATCTTGTAGGATTCAATGAATCATGGCTTCAAAATGCATAATTCAAAAAGAACTTGGTCATATATTTTAAAAACAGAGACTCCAGGTCCTGGAACCTATTAAAGCGAAAGTTTTACATAAAATAGGGCATCATCTAAACATTCAAAAGCATCTTCTAAAGAGTAATCGAAAATTTTAAATAAATGTTTCTCTTAACATGAGTCAAAATAATCAAATAAAATGGGAACTTTCAATTAATCTAAAGGTAATTTTGATTCTCATGGTACATTAACTACAAGATCAAAATTCAAGTCTAATCATATAAGCTAATAATAAAATATTAGTGATTCTTATAATAGAATGAGAGAATATGGTAAGTTAAAAGTAACTTTTACAAAATAAGTAAGAAAAGAAGAATTCTTAGATGAATTTTCTAATCCTAATCCAAAAAAAATAAATAGATCTCCAGGACCAGCTATGTATGCTGATACAAAATTCAAACCGAATAAAAAATTTGGATTTATGCCAGTTTCAAAAAAGGGAGAGACATTCAAACCAAAAGAAGGACCTGGGGTTGGAGAGTATTCTAAAATAATTCCTTTTGGTAAGATATACAACAAACATATGACACCCAAGAGATAATTTTTTAAATTCAAAGATCTTAATTAATTTGATTTTGACTAATGACTAATTCTATATTGATATATTAATTAAATTAATGTAAGCCTAAAATCAATTAAAGTGGAGTGATTTGTAAAAAGATGAGAAGGATAATACTCTTCGAAATAATGATGAATGTAAAGATTGATTAATAAGCTTAAAAGAACCTAGATTGGCATATTTATCAGATAATGTAATGAAAGTGAATAGCATGAAATTCACTTTAGGTCCAAATAAAATATCAAAAGTGATGATTGGATTATGTGATAAGAGAATTCGTTAAGAAAGAGGAATGATATTTTAGGATAAATCATTTGTTGGTCATGGTACATATTTGCTTTATTCTGTGGATTGCTATAATTCATGTATTTCTAATTAAATAATTAATTATAGTTTTGTTTAGTCATTGGGATTTAGAATGTAATTATAATGAAGGAGGATTTGTACTTAATTAAAATGATGAAGTAGAAATGACATTTGATTTGGAGAAAAAAACATTAAAAATATTTGATATAAAGAAACCAGAAAGAAATGTATAATTTTAAACTGAACATCATAAATTAGAAGATTTACACCTTTGCGTAGTAATAATATAAGGTGAATTAATATTTCATAGTTGATTAATTATATCATTATTTTTAAGTATCTAAACAACTAGTATCAGCATATGATTCTCTTTTAACACAACCTAAAGCAACTAATAATTTTTGCATAAAAGTTTCATTTTTTTATTTAACTGTTTATGATCGTATCTCCTTTTTTTAAGATTCAGAATGTCTACTCCGACGATATTATTATTTGTAATCCTAAATTGAATTTTCAGTTTGAGTTTAGAATGTTATATTTTATCTTATAAAAGATTATTGAGAAGAAGCTGTAGATTTAGAAAAATATTGATTATCTTGATGCATAGTATTACCATTGACTCTGACTCTATTTTATGAGATTGGCATTTTTTATAATTCAAATTCATTTCTATTGAGCCATCTGTGATTTAAAATTTATTTCATTGTTAATCTATCTTTTTATTAATATTTGATAAGACCAATTATAAGATCTTTAACATCAGAACTTAAACTATTATCAATGATTTGATAATTGATTTTCACAATATTATTGCATTTTTCAATATCATTTTTACCTTTGAATGGTGCTTCTCCATGTAATAATTCATATAATAGTATTCCTAAACACCATATATCTAGAGTGTGATCATGAGGTCTATCTTCAATCATTTCAGGGGCCATGTAATCTATTGTTCCACAGAAAGTACTTCTCTTTTTTGAACCTAAATTTTCAGCTGACCATCCAAAATCACAAATCTTTACATTATCAGCAATATCTAATAATATATTTTCAGGCTACCTATTAATTATAATGAATTACTTTAAGATCTCTATGTATTATATTTTGTTAATGTAAATAATCAATTCCTAAACAAGTTTATTTAAAAAATTTAAGTGCTTCATTTTCATTTAATTTTCCTCTTCTTTTTAATAATTAAAATAGAGATCCATGTTCTGCATATTCTAATATAAGATAAACTTTATCTTTATCTTCAAAATAGTGGAATAATTATGTAATATTTGGATGATTCAATTTTCTTTATATTCTTATTTCTCTTTTAAGGTTTTCAATTGAACAATACTCAAAAATGTCTTTCTTATTCATCTAAAATTGATAATTTAATGTACTATCTTCATTGCATGTAATTATCCATTGGTTCTATCTTTCACTAATCTAACAGCTCCAAAACTACCTTTACCAAGTTATGGATAATCATATATAAGTTCAAACTCTTCTGCACTTCTTTTCATTTATCTTAAGGTTGATACCTTATCACTATATGCTATTTCCTATGAATTTAACATGTTTTAAGGTATACATTGGTTTTTATGTCCAGAAGTCCTTATATAATAATTCATTTTACCAATCAATGTCTCTACATCTTTGAGAACAATAATAAGCATGTTTACAAAAGGGACAATAAACTCTATATTTAGGAATTGGAACCATTTAAGTACCAGCCAAATTATATTGACAGTATCGTGAACTGCAAACGTTCATCAAATAATATATTAATATTATGTTATATTCTCAATAGATGTAAAAGTATAGGAAATCAACCAGTTCACCAATTCTCAAATAACAGAGTCTTCCAGTAATAAATGAATTGAGATTTGCAATGAGAACTAGAGCAGGCAGTGATTAATAGCATTCAGTCAAGATCAATTAAGACAGTTTTATTGCTTGTCGATTGTATAAGGAATAATAATGATAGTAATGGCTATTAATTCTTTGCTATTTGTGATGGTCATGGTTAAAATGGACATCTTGTTTCATAATACCTTAAGAAAAATATCCCAAGTATAAATCACTAGAATTAGTTATTCTTAGTAATTATCTCAAGGACATGACCTTAAATTCAGAGGGTATCAATTAAGCAATTATACGTTCATACTTAAAAATTAATAAAGACTTATTTTAGAGCAATATTGATACTAATTTGGCAGGATCAACAATAGTATCAATATTGATAAAGGATTAATAAGTAAAGTATTTTATAATATTTTATAGATATTCTGTGCAAATGTTGGTGATTCTAGAGCAATCATTTGTTAAAAAGTAAATACTTGGATGGCTATATAAATAAGTGTTGATCATAAACCAAATAATGTAAAAGAAAGAGCTAGAATTATAAATGCTGATGGTAGAATATCTCAAAGAAAAAGTTCAGAAGGATATCCTGCTGGTCCTGAAAGAGTTTATCTCTCATTTTCAGACACTCCAGGACTAGCTATGACAAGAAGTTTTGGGGATAAAATAGCAGCAAAAGTAGGAGTTATAGCAGAACCAGGTATAGTAGTTTATATTATAGAAAGAGATATTAGAATTTAAGAGAACTAAGGCTCATAAATTTATTGTACTTGCTTCTGATGGGGTTTGGGATTAATTAACTAATGATGAGGTTATGGATTTGATTTTACCTTATTTTAAAGATAAATAAGTTGAATTGGCCACTGAACGAATAGTAAGAGAAGCATTTAATAGATGGAAGCAGTTTTCCATATTGAGAGATGATATAACTTGCATTGTAATATTTTTATGATTTAATATATAAATATAATTTATATATTTAATAATTAATATAATGATCTAGCTATTGAGCATCATCTTGATTATTAATCTTGCTAAAAGTCAAATTGAAGTAGACTTAAGTTAAGAAAATAATTGGACATACATTTAAAATACTTTAAACACTAGTACTTTTAAGGTGAGATCTTTACAAACAGAGTATTGTTACGTTAGAATAGGATTAAAATACTAGGATCCTACTTTTTTATTAATGGCAGATTATAAAGTTAAACCTAATAGCAATTTGATTTCAACATATAAATAAGGAGAAAAGATTGATAGAATAAGGTAAGAATTATATTTAATTTAGTTAATTAGAAAATAGAGGAACTAGGTTCTTAAAATTGAAAGGAAATGCAGGAACTATATATATAACTACTATGGCAGATTATAAAAATAATTACTATTAAATTACGATCACTGGAAATAATGAAGAAGAATGTGATAACGATTGTAATTAAAATGGCATTTGTGAGGTAGAAATGATCATATTTTAAGACTGAAGGATGCATTTGCAATGGTTCATTTATTGGAAATGATTGTCATTAACTATCTTAGGAATTAGTTTCATAAACTTAATAAGATGTATATTTTGTAAATGATGAAACTATCAAGTTCTTCTCAATTAATCTCTATTATTTTTTAGGATAAACTTTGAAACTGCAATTTGAAGTATTTATAGTTATTATTTAAATCTAGTCTAATTGTCAAGAATGTTTAAATATTATTATTTATAAAACTAAAGCTCTTTTTAGGCCAGAAGAAACCTAAAAAAGCAATTATACTTAATTATTTTCTTTTTCTAATGGATTAAGCACTATTTAAACAAAGATTCCAGATATATTGCCAGCTTAATAACAAATTTTATATCTTTCTGTTTTTAAATAATATTCCAATAATGAAACTGCTCATTTATAAATTAGATTTAATTATGAGCCTTAATCTTATGATGATATTGATGAAAATATTAATAGTACTCGATTAATTTACATTATTATACCATCTGTTTTTGGATCATTATTATTTTTCCTCTGTATAGGTTGCCTAATAAATAGGAGAAGAAAGGCAATTCAAGCTTAATCTATTATTCAAGGTCCTTTTTATCAACAACCCAGAAATGTAATTAATTAAGATCCCTTTTTTAATTAAAACAGAAATGTAATCATGATCACCTATAATAGCAATTTCCTTAATAACCTTAAATTTAAATTGTACAACCTCCAGCTTCTTAATTTCTTTGGCCAAAAGAAGAACCTAATAATGATGATGATAAATGTATTATCTGCTTCTATTAACTTAATTATTAAAATAATACAGTAGTGAAAATTAATTGCGGGTATATAAAATTATTAAATTTAGCCATTAATTTCATCGAGATTGCATTAAAGGTTGGTGTATAAAATAACAATCTATAAAATAAGATAAATAAAGTGATTGCCCGTATTGTAGATGCCCTATGGATTTAAATTTAATCTTTTGATCCATTCATATATATAATAATTTATTATCTTAATTAACGTTCTCTAAGTAATTCTTTATTTATAATATAATTGAACTTTTAAGTAAAATAAAGTATTAAACTTACTAAAAATAATCAAAATTCTTTTTCTATATTTATACTGTCCATCTTAAATTATTATAGTAAAATTTGATGATATATAGAGATAGACTGATCAATTTCAAAAATTTATCCAATATTATTTATAATACTACACAAATTAATGGATAGAATATTTTTTACTCTATTAAAGTTTAATTCTAGAAGTAGATTAAATAAATCTAAATTTTATATTCTTAGTTAACTAGCATTAGATTACTTCTAATCCTTTTTCTTAAACTTCTTATATAGAGAGGATATTGATTCTAGATTGTATGTTTTATAAATTATTCTATAGTCAATGTGAATACTGATAATTTTGGTTTTTCAAAATTTCTACATCTGGTTAATATATATATTGGTCAGTCATTCTTAAAGAATGATATATCATAAAATTTAATTTATTATATATTATAACAATAAGAAATTTTTAGTATAGAAAGTTTAAGATATCAATTCTGAAATTTGTGTATGATTCTTTATATTAATACTCATTATAGTTATGCAGGAGTAGATTGCAAAAACTTTGGTACTATAAGTATAATTAGATTACTTAAGATCTCTAAATTATTAATTGTCATTTATAAATTATAGGTTAAAGAATTTAAACATTATTGCTAAATATTTAAATAATAATAATTAATAGATTATGTAATCTTTATAAGGATAATAAGAAAATAGATTATATTTTTGATATTAGATATTCATTATCTTTTATCAAACTTTTCTAACTTTGCTTCTTTTTCTTTAAATTCTCTTCTATCTTTTTCATATTATTTTTCATTAAAAATTTAACAATCTTAAAAATCTGGTACTTTGGATAACTTATTTTGTATCTATTTCAAATCATATTCTTAATTGAATTCTATATAAATATATCTATAATGGATTATTCTATAAGCTGCTAAATTGTATTATTATTTTAAAGTATTAATTATATTATCAACAATTGACTTTTATAATTATAATCTTTAATTTTTTTATATTTATAAATTTTTTCGATCATCCTCTGGAAATTTAATATAAATTATATTTTTTTATGTTAATTTAATATCTTCAGCAGTATTCAAATTAATATTATAATTACTTTTAAATTAATTCAATTTATTCTTTTGATTTTATAATTCTTATTATGTAAAATCTTTAGTCAAATTAATAAATATAAATCCAGTCATATAAGCATCAAAACCAGCTGTATGATATAAATTTTAATCTTATTCAACCTCAATTTATGTATAATTCATATTATTTTTGATAAATTCAGCTAAATTTTCAATAGATGTTGATGTTTCTAATTTCCCTCTTATTTTTTCTAATGGTTAAGCTGATTAAATAATATATTTGGTATCATAAATAGGTGGCCAATTTCTATGAATATCTTCTTTAAACTCTTCCCAAGATATTGGAGGACATTAAACAAAATGACTATAACAAAATAATAAATCTGCAAAACAATTATGTCCTACCATATACTTTTTAGAATTCAAAATACATTCCCATATTTAATAAAATCCTGTTTTAGTTTAAAATCTATTTATTTTTAATTATTATTTTTCTTCTTCTTTTACTTACTTTTCTGCATTTGTTAATTTTGTAATTTTCATTTCTCCTTTTAATAAAGATTCTCCAATCATATTTTTCTAATAAGCTTCTAAATAAGTATAAATAATTTTTCTTTAATATCCATTTGTTGTTTCTATTGTTGTCTATTTATCTTCTGATATATTAAATTTTTCTAATTTGTCAATTAAATCTTAAATCTATTATATAAATTATATGATATACTGTTTTCTTATCTATTGCTTTAACATCATCTAAAATTTTTTCAAATTGATTCTTCAATTCTTCCTAATCTAATTATTAAAAGTCTTTATTATAATCATCTTAAAGTTTTTAATATTATGCTCTATTTATATACCCTATTCCTTTATTAATCCATCTATTCCAATCCATACCATGTTCACTATTAAAAAATATTGCTCCTACTTACAAACCCACAAAATCATCTAAACTAATAATTAGAATATTGTCTACTCTTAAGGAAACAAAAAGAATGTATAAGGATAAGCCACATATCCTTTTTATTTTTTGATGAATATGCATAATCCAAATTGAATAATATTATATTTCATACTTACTTTTCGTGCCTATATGTCATTAAAAATACCTTTAAATATCTTTCAAATGGTAATTCTTCAAATATATCTTAATAATCTCCTTTTATTCCAGTTAATTCAAGATCAAAACCTAGAAAATCACATCTCTTAATCTAATCAATTATTGTTTATTTGTGTTGCTCAAAATTATCAAGGTCGATAAACATTCTTAATATATTTACTATTATTAATTATATGAAATCATTTCTTAAACAATATCTAAACAATCCCCTTTTTTTTATCAGCAGGTTTTACTGCTAATTCATCTAGAATTTCTTCCTTTTCTTTTTCTGAGAATTCCAAAAATTAAAACAATGTATTTAGTATTGCTTCAGCTAAATCATAATTTAAGTTTTTGGGTCCACAAGCTGTAAGAAACTTTTTTAAACAATCTCTTAAATGAGCTTTAGCATGAACAGCTTAAGGATCAACAGAAGTCTTTTACATAGCCATCATTTTATGTTTATACTAAAATAATCATTTTAAATTACATCTCTAGCTAAATTATTCAATTATAACATTTATTCCTCTTTTGCAGCTATTCTTTCTAATAAAGTTTAAAATTTAGCAATAATTTTCACATTTTCTTCATTAGCTGCTTCTAATTTAGATTTTAAAATATTAACTTCCTCAGTATGTGAAAGTTATTACTTATTAGAAGTTGAATTCTAAAATATAATATAAACATACTTCTTTTTTTGTTTTATCATTATTAATAATTGCAGATATATCAATATCACCAATAAATCCACTAATATCATTTTCATTTATTTCTAACTAATGTTCATTTGATGAAAAACTTAAATCTTCATTTTTCACTTCTTTAATATTACTCAAAGCTGTTTTTATAGGTAATTTTGCCTTCATTAATTAAATATCCTTTTAATATGCCAATAAACTATTCTATTCTTATTATGATAATTTAAGCTATAAATAATTATTATTTTTTACATAATTCTATGCATAAAATACTGCTTATTAATTTCTTAGATATTCATCCATTAATGACTATAAACATTAATAATATATAAATTTTCTTTCACATTATTTTTCATGTTATGATTTAAATTATCTTAAATAATCTAATATATTATCTTAATTAAATAATGTCTTTATTTCATTTAAAATTAATTAATTTTGATTTAAATCTGCTTATAATTTATTAATCTAAATCTATTTATTTTCAATTTCATTCTTTAATTAAATAATTTCACTCTTTAATTATGTTATTTCTTCATTTTATTTAAGTATCTCATTTTCTCTTATATGATTTTGATTTCTAATAGTTTCAAGTTCATTTTTTAAACCTTATATTTCTGTATCCTTAGAAGATAAATTTTTAATCCCTTCATTATCTTTTTTACTTTATATACTATTCTCTTAATCTTTTAAAGCTTCTATTTCATTTTACAATGTTAAAATTTCACCATCCTTATATGCAAATAATTTCATTGCTTCATTTTCTCTCTTACTATAACCAGCTATATCTATATCCTTTTAAATTAAGACTTCCTTTAATTAATCAACTTACTTTCTCAAAGCTGAAATTTATGAATTTAAATTTTCTATCTAAATATTCAATCTTTTTTATTCTTTCAATAATTAAGCTTCTGAATCTTTTAATTATATATCTAATTATTAATTTTATTATTCCTTTTATGTTAATTTTTCATTCAAAATTAATAACTTATTATCTAGTTCTATTTTTTAATTATTCAATTATGATTTACTTTCAATTTCCTATTATAATTCTTATTTTAATTATTATATCTCTAATTATTAAGAATTAGTTTATAATAATAATTAATTATTTTGTTCTTTAATTTTATCATAATCTGTTTTCTATAATGCCATTAATTCATCATGATCTTAAGTAAGTTAATTATTTTATTACAATAACTTTTGTTCTTATGCTTAAGATTCTTAAATAGAATGTGATATTTAATCTTCTTTTAATTTCAAATCGCTTTCTAATTGTTATATTTTTTATTCTAAATGATTTATTTATTCTTGTAAAGATGCTATTAATTTATTTTAAGCTTAATCTGCTTCATTTTTATTTGTGATTTAAACTTGATTTTCAACTAATTCTTTATTATTTTTTTTTAATTCTAAAATTTCATTATTCAACATATTTATTCTCTCTTATAATTCATGATGTTTCTGATTTAATTAACTATAATTCTGTGCATCTTGATTAATTTACAATTATAATTTCTTATTATTTTATTCTTATTCATGGTTTGAATGTTATAATGCATTTAATTCTTATTAAATTTATTAAATATTCTATGTTTTTTCATGAATTTAATTATCAAGTATTGCATTTTATTATTACAATTATTAAATTTTATTATTGATTTTATCTAAATCTTTATTTTGTTATAATATTTTATTTTCCTTTTCACTTAATTCTAAATTCTTTTTTTTAATTGTTAAATCTAAATCATTTATAATATCTGTATTATTTGTTATTATAATTTCTTTTGCTTCTAAATTCTTTTCTAATTCAAGCTTTACATCTTTTAAATGATTATTATCATTTTTAATAGATTTAATTTCATTTACTTATTAATCATATTGATTAGATTTTTCTAACAATTCATCTCTTAATTTTGAACATCTTTCCTATTCTTAACTCAATAATTATTATATTTCATTAATCTATGATTCTTATATTTACTTATTTTATAATTATTCATTAATTTGCTTTTCTAAATTTATAAT